GGGGGGCGATAACTACCCATGTGACTACCTATCTCATCTGTTCACCAAATTGTCTATAAAAGTTCTAATCTTTTCTAAATCTAACTACAGAAAATAATGCCTATGGTGGTTATTGGTTAAAATGCGTTTTAAAACTTCGATTTAAAGTGCCTATATCACTTGTGGGATATTTACGGATTTGGAAAGAGCACAAAAAGTTAGTTACTAAGTTCTTCAACCTTTTTTGATTTGGTTCAGTATTTTCCGAGATATTGACCCTCAAACATGACAATTTTCAAAAATATCCGTCGTCCTTGGGGGCCTGGGACTCAGGAACGCGAGCGTAAACAAACACTATAGAATCATAGATAATGGAAGTAAGATGGATTGGAATGCCGGCATACATCAAAGCCATTTCCGGTTATATCTTGTGGCTTCCCACAAACAATGCAAGTTGTGCAAGCAACATTTCCGGTTTATAAGAAATATATTGGCAATTCTCAGAAAATAGAAACAGAATGGACTTCAGTTATTTTACTATTGATGTATTATCAAGTGATGAAGCTTAAATTGAGAAGGTAAGGTTTGCTGCTAAATTTACACATCTTTTATCATTTCAGATGTAATAAATACAGTGTAGCGATTTATTTTTTCACTGACACTGGCATGCGAAGTCTGATCAGTGTGATTTTATGTATAAAATTATTTATATTTCATGTTGTTGTTGGAGGGAAATATGTAAAAGTTAGCACAATTTACACTTCACAGTTTTTATTTACCATATTATTTTTACCACATATCAATTTAGGCTTTTCCCATCGCATTTTGTGACGAAAAAAACGTCGAAGTTCGAACTGGAAAATCTTCAAGTGAAACCACTGAATGTAGTCTCGAAACTTTAACTGCCGACCAGAAAATTGCCACCACAGATGCTCAAACAAATTCTAAGAAAAAACAAAGAGCCAAAAAGCCGAAGGGTAAACCAAAGAAAGCTAGAAAATCGAGAAAAAAAAGGTCATCCTGGCAGATATATGTGATTTGGCGAAGGATGCTTTACTTCAGATGAAGAAAAATGAAATGTTGAATGCTCTCTACAGGCATCATATAAGTCGTTTGTTGGAAAAACCTTTACCTGCTTTTCCGTCAGATGATTTGAAGGAAAGACTCAAAAAAACATGTACGAAGTTTTCTTCACGTTTTATAACTACTGCAAGAGAAGCAATGTGGGAGGAATTCAACAAGATATGGACCGATGAGAATATTACGAAGTCAATAATTGATGCTCTTGGTATTACATCTGACTTCTGTTCATGGTTTCTGTTTTATCTACAACAGGCTGTAGCAAAAACGTATCTACAATGTGATTCTACTGCTGTGGTAAATGATTTGGATTTGTCAGATGCTGAACAGGAATCTGTTGCATACATTGCTGGTGCGGTATTAAAAAATGTAGGTTCCAAACTGTGCGAGTTAAAGAGGAAAATTGCAAGTAATGGTCAAGATGTTGCTACAGTGGATAAAGACATTACAATACTTAATGCCTGCAAGGAAACAAGGTCAGATGGGTTGGGTAGCACCAGTACCTCCACCAAACTGATTGAAGCTTTAAGTCGAGGAGGTCTTATTTACCCTAAGGCATCAATTATTAATATGTTCTTAGTTATTGAGGGTATTTTTAGGCAAAATCTGAGTCACTGGGCATCTGAGTCACTGGGGAATGTATCAGTTCAAAATAATTTTCTTGATGCATTGCAAAAATTTAAAATGCTTGAAAAGTTTGTAAATTTTTACCTCAAAGTTAGATGTTATGCCCATGCAAAGTATGTTATTGAAAACTATAGAGTAGACACCAAAACCGAACGTAAGAAAAAAGCACTAAGGAAAAAGTTAAAGCTTTCTGAAGAAGGAAATTAATACATGGATCAATGTGTACTTGTGTTTTATTCTAATTGCTAATTCAACAATGTAAATACGTAAAAAGTCTATTTCATTTTAATGTTTTAAACTTTTAATGCTATAACTATAGTGAAACTAAAGTAAAGGCATTGTAAGATGCCAAACATAATATAAAGTTATACACTGGTTTATTTGCAGATATTATTTTGTCAGAAATGTACACTGTACTGAACAGTTACGGCAACTAGAAAACAGGGCTGCCCATAGCTTTTCAGGGGCCCAAGGCAGATTTTTTTGGGGGACCCTTCATCACCTCCCCCACCGACATCCCCGTCGACAACTTTTTCATTTTTTTCCTTATTACATGGTATTTTGGTATGGTATTTTGCCCAAAAACCAGAAATATTTTGCCAGAAAAATGACTGGCCATCCCCCCCCCCAAATAACTGCCCTTCCCCCCAAAATAACTGGGGGTCCCCAAATTGCCCCCTTTGCTCCACCCCCTTCTGGGCGGCCCTGCTAGTAACTACTTTTTTTCCGTCTCTTCAATGGACTTGTTGTCACGGTTATCCCTTCTTTGGGTCTCTTGGAGCCTCTCGTATTCCCTTTAGGTGTTATACTTGTTGCCACGGTCCGTTGTATTCTAAATTTATTTTCTTGAACTCCGAGTGTCTGCAGTGACGGATTTGCAGATCTTCTAGCAGATTGTCGGTGCCGGCCAAAATGCTCTTCAAGAGGATCTTGACTAAACTTGCTGGTCAAGACATACTCAAAGCCATGATTCAACAGGAACTTAACCACATCTTCCAGTGAGTAAACAGTCAATCGCAGACCTGCCATACAAGTAACACAACAAAGTAATAAAACAATGGTGCAAAACAGGATATAATAAAACACAACAGTAACACTTGCTAACAAACACTTTTCACGGGGTGGATCTTGTGGTGAGGTGCAGTGTACTCCCTCCAGGAAAGGTAAGCACCCCAGTTAATCTCCCAGTTACAAATCTCCCAGTTGTTGGATATAAGCCCATGTTACAGTCACAAAATAGAGTTAGCTAGGGTTATAAATTATTAGGGTTAGTGGCTTAGTGCTAAGATTATAATTTGGGTATTTTGGACATGGAATAAATATAATCATAACATTAACCCTAATCGTGTTTTGTGACTAATAACATGGGCTTATAATATAATTTTATAATTTAGTTGCAAACCACAACAGATTACCTTGATAGGTCTGAGAACTTAGAAACATTTTTGATTTGTCATCTTTTGTGAAGTTTCCCTTCCTTTCATCTATTGAGGCTTTCCAGTTGGCCAAGTAATTCAAGAAAGTTTCCTTCAAGAAATTGAACCGTGAATCATTCACTGACGTGTATGGGGCCAGAAAAGGTTTCCTTTTCTGCCCTGACATCTCAGGTCTTGAATTACAGCAATCAAAAAACTTATCCATCATTAACAAGAAAGTAGCTGTTTCTTGAGTTTCAGAAGAGGAATAAGCCATCATTATATTTGAGACTGTCTCACTTAGAACTTGTGTGGCGAGATTAACTCTCATCTTTGAGTAACTTGTAAGGTAAACATGTTCGTTTGTTAGCTTAGGCATTGTTCGCACCAATTGTTCTTTCGATCAGCCTCATAAAGATCAACTATGTGTTTCCAAAGTAAATGCTTCCCATTGTTCCATAATCTTCTAGTGTTCGATCCTGAGCCAGAACTGGCCAAGTTGTTTCTGGCAGTTTTAATGAGATGAGGAGGGTCAGAAAAAAAGTAGATATATCTCTGCTCATCAGTTGCAAATACATTCTTTGTTCGATAAGTACTTTTATCTCCAGAATCATGAAGGCTGTACAGTCGCTGATTTGGGCCAGCTTTATCAGACACAACCACAACAACTTTGAGGCCAGCATATGTTTCAAGCAGTCCCACAGCTTTCCACATGAGCAGAAATAACTGATCTGCTGTAGCTGTTGTTGTTGCAAAGTAACCCAAACTAAATTTCAAACGAGATGCAATACTTGTCACCATGAAAACAAGAGCATGGGTAGCAACATTTGCTGTTTTGATGCTCTCTTCTTTATTTCGAATTATGTGGCAATCATCGACATCATTGCCGATGTTTACAAAGCCAACTAACTCCCCAGTTACTTTGTCGTATACAAGATCATCTTTTATTGATACCTCATCCAGCATAAGAACAACATATTTTTTAATGTCATTTAGCTTTTCTACTTGATGTTTCAAATCGTCAAACACAGCCTTGTGAAAGCCAGTACTTGGGTGAACAGTGTTTGTGTAATCCCTTAGTGTTCGTTCACAAGGCAATTTAACGACATTGCTTTCTCTTAAGGCTTTGTAAGCTGAAGGGGATCTAAGATGTATATGCAAAGCAAACCTTATCATCATTGGATGCCATCTCACTGCCTTAGGATTTTTCTGAAAAGACTTTTTCTGTTCCTGCCAAAACAGCTTTTCAAAACTATCGTCTGGTAGTTCTTTTTCAATGCCAGATATGATCCTTGAAAAGTCATTGTGTAGTCCATCATTCAGACAAGTTCCTTTTTGCCGAATCTCTTCTTCTAAATTGTTCACCATTTTCCTTAATTGTTTTTCTTTCTTCCGGGTGTTTTTTACCTCTTTAATTAGCTTATCTTTGGAAACTGTACTGAGTGGGGTGTTGGGGTGCAGTTCTTTTTCAACAGTCATATCAGTTGATTTTGCCTTTCTTTCCAACTTTACACCAGCTTGCTTACAATACTTACAACACTCTTCTCCAATTGTATCTTCTAGCAAAATTTCACAATCACAGCTTCTGATGCAGGAAGTATTTTCCGCATTCCTATTGGCTGTGCCATAATCCATAGAAAATAGAAAACCCTTTTCAATGTCAGCATTACTTGTAATGCTCTTTACTAAGTCACTGTCTCTAATTCCACTGCATAATGTAAGTTGTTTTATTTCCATCAACAGCCACTGAATTCTCACTTTAGCTACACTGCGTTTATACTTTTCATAAATCTTGTGGTTGTCAGGCAAATATAAGGAAGACGATTCAACACCAAATTCTAAGGCTTCGTTCACGGTTACCTTGTGAATAATGTTTCCATTTTCTGCCAAGTAACCAAAAATACAGGATAAATTGTTTTCAATTAAAACAGTCCATGGGGCCTTGATATGTTTAAAGTCTTTTTTTAGGTCACTTAGTTCAGTGTATTTATAAACATCTAAGGTTGTCTCAGTCTCAGAAGAATCTCGAACCAATGTTCTTCTTGGCAGGACTTTCCTGCTTTCAATACTTTTTTTCGGCAAATATTCTGTCGGGAGGCAACCTGGAATAAGTCGCTTCTGACCCTTTTCACCTATTTCAATGAATATGAATACAGTCATATAAAAGTATAACATTTATATGTCACCACAATTCCACAAATATAAACTATAGAGTTAAGAATTATATATCCCCTCGTATAACTCTTGAAAGCACAGAAGTACAAGACAATATATATGAGATATAAATTGTATAATATTTGTATAAATATTTACACACAGCATATATGGCGGCAAAACTCGTTTAAATTGTTTGGAATCATAATAAAAAGATGAGTAGACTATCAAATATACTTAAAGAAAGCTATATATTTTACTCTTTTGGCATGAATATCTATTCAAATATTATACAATTCGGTTTCTCTGTGTTGAAACCTTACCTATTAAATAAACATTAACAATTTTCTCAAAATATATGGTTTAACTTTATTCATAAATATGTCATAACATTTAACAACAAACGTACCTGTTTTATAACAACTTTCCTTGAAATGACGAGAACATATGAATGCATTATCCGGATTGAAGCCATTGTCAATTCTATTGACTATCCGAATAAGTTGACTTCGCCATTCTTCATGTACTTTTCCCTTTGGTATTTTAAAGAAACTAAGGGCAGGATACCTAGTTTTTGAAGCATATGTTGGACAATCAACTATACAACAATTTGCTCCTGGCATAGAAAAAGAACTAGTTATAAAATTCGACGATATACACTTTATACTGCCATAAATAAAGCACCACGCTGTAAACTACAATTTAACCGGAAATGATCTTTGCCCAACTTGCAAAGATTTCCGCGTGAGCGAACATTGACCTTTGATGTATGCCGGCATTCCAATCCATCCTACTTCCATTGTCTATGATAGAATTGTATTATATTTTGACGCTGTAACTTACTAAAGTGAGAATTTTTGCAAGAAAAGTCGGTTTATTCAGCTCAAAATCGTTCTCTGGTACTGAAAAAAATTCCTACGATTGTGCTGAATATAAAATTGAAGGTGAAACGTACAAAACGACTTCAAAATCAAATTTGAAAGTGCTCCTTCGTGGTGGCGTCTAGATAGCTTCGTCGAGCATGAAAATGTTGACATTTAGAGCTACACTGACGAAATATGGGCCAAAGAATACGTTTGAAAGTTGGAAGAATATAACAAGGAAATAAGGAAATTTATTTTCACATGAAACGGACCTTACATGTACAGTATATCGTGACAGTTCGTATTATTTAAGTGAATATGTTTTCTATATGTACTGTAAAAAATGTATTTGCCATTTGCAATTTAATACCATATTTTGGGTTGTCTTTGAGTAATTATGTTTTGCAGCTTGAATTTTATATTGAGATATAAAAATTAAATAAAGGAGGAGCTTTTTCGATTCTATTTTGTACTGCTGAAAATCACAATACATTTCATGATTCAATGATTGTATTAGCTTTATTGCTGCAATAGACCAATATATAAATACTTGGCTTGAATTTATGGCTTTGCTGTTTATAATGGTAAAGCTCCCAACATTCCAACCCTTGCCAAACAACCTGAACTTGTGAGGGTTGGATCCAGGCCAGTATCGCATGATTTAGGGGCTGTTTATGTGTGCCTGGTTTGCAGGGCTGACCCTGTTTGAAAAGTCTTGTATAGATGAAAATTATCGAGTGGAAATTTATATACATTTATTAAATACCCTTCTATACAAGACCCTTCAACTATTATTGAATCGAGTAAGAAGCCAACAAAATCACGATATTTTATACTCATGATCATACTCTAAACATGCATGGCCGCAGTACTCTCTCTCTCTATATATATATATATATATATATATATTCAGGGCAGGAAAAAAGAATTTTCCTGGGAGCACAACCTAGAGACAAAAATTTCCTTTATTAGTATTAGAGTATTTTTGTGCTAAATCTGCATGTGCATAAACATATAGTGTTCTAGCTGACCATGGTTTTAAATTCAAGGAATGTCTGTCAACCATATGTTGTTGCACCCATAGTGGGACCATGGGTGTTAAGGTTTCCTTCAAATGTTAATCAATAGCAAATCTTCATTCAAACAAATTTCCTGCAGCTGTTTAACATTTACTGCGAGCAGTGCTTGCCTATTTTCCCACCCCTGTATATATTGGTTACAGCTAGCGCTGCACCGGAATTGCAGGGCAGCAGGTTGGATTTCTGCCAAGGATCTGCAGTTCAAAAATCAAATCAAATCAAATTTTATTAATAAATACATAAACAGTCTGTATATACAATACTATCCGCTAATAGCAAAGCTAATCGGGGCGGATAGTAGAATGAGATTAAATAAGAAGTATAGATATGCTCGGTTATAATATAAAGTGGTGCAGTATACTGACAGCACAAAGCATCATTTTCACAAAGAAGAATTAATTCCCTATTAATTTCCTATTAATTTCGAAGGATGTACTATTTTCCATGCTTACTCATATATCTAATTAATGTGGGCACATCAGCATAATCGTCCTCAATCTCAAATATGGTTAAAAGACTTTTCTGAATTTTCAAATTGAAACTTTTTCTACCCAACTCTCGAAGATCAGTGGGAATACTATTCCAAATTTTAACACCTGATTTTACAAAGGATGTGATAGTTGTAGTTAGTTTTGAGTATTCAACATAAAAATTATTGGATACACAATGTCTAGTGTTATAAGTATGGACTTCTTTTGATTGGATAAAACAATCGGAGATTGAAGATGGACAAGAGCTATTTGAGACGTCATACATTAAATTGCAAATTGTTTTAATGTAAAGCATATTTAAAGGAAGTATATTGGAATGAATAAAAAGTGGGATAGCATGTTCCTTGTTTGTTTTAAAATTCATTAAACGTATTGCTCGTTTTTGGAGAATAAGTATCTTATTCAAATATTTTTTTGCCGCTTGACCCCAAACAGCTATACCATATGTTATATAAGGTAAGATTAAACATCGATAAATGTTTTGTAAGGTAGACAGAGGTACAAAATATCTAAGCCTTGTAATTATGCCAATTGTTTTGCTTATTTTGGATGCAATGTTGTCAATGTGGTATTTCCATGTGAGATTACCATCCACTACAACACCTAAATATTTTATAAATTCTTTGCATTCAATATTAATCAAGTTATTAGAATGATTGTCAAACATTTTTAGTTCAACTTGATAGTCGAGCTTTTTTTGGTGGGAATGAAAGATAACATAGTTGGATTTCTTTAAGTTGAGGGTTAACTTATTTGTGTTTAGCCATTCACAGACTCCTATCAATTCTCTATTGATGATCGTTTCTAGAGATTTTAATTTTTTATCAGAGTATACCAAATTCGTATCATCAGCAAACAAGTAAAATTTAAATACCTCAGATGATTTGTGAATATCATTTATGTAAATTAAGAGGAGTAGAGGCCCAAGGACTGAACCTTGTGGAACACCCAAGTTAACTGTATGTTTTGCATTTTTCAAAACTTTTCCTGGTTAGTTATAATAAATGAATATAAATTTCTACTCAATAATAAATTTCCATCTATACAAGACCCTTCAACTATTATTCAATTCTGTATAACCTGTCTTCCTAAGCTGTTCTTGATCCTTCTTGTTGATCAAGTAGTTTTTAAATCAACATTTTCCTGTACACAGTAGCATGAATTTCTTTTTTTCATGACTTTGATTCCTTTGTCTGTTGATTTTTTGGAAAAAAATAGACTAGATATTATTTGTGCACTATGTGTGCTGTAATTTTATTAAATGCAAAATTAATGACAAAAAAATCAAGCATGCATTAATTAAAGTTGGACTAACCCCAAATAGAATTTTTGGTTTGTGTGATAGTTGGGTCATAATTCTAAGAAGAAATGTAATGTATCTTTATAGTAAAAATTCACCTAATGACATCATATCCGGAAACTTTGACAGTGAAATGGTCGATGAAGAAGGGATTTTTTTATTATAGAGATAACATTTCTTCGAACGAATGACACAGATATTGCACATACCAAAAATCATATTTGTGGTTAGTCGTGCTTTAAAATTATATTTCTTATTTCTCATCTTCCAAATATTCATATCCTTTGAAGTCATCATGCATCTTTCTCATTAAAAAGATAGTTTGATAAACAGAACACAATGGTATTATTTCATCTTTTTTACAACCATGAGCTAATCTGGTGAATCACATGTATGCCACTGATATAAAGACCTAAAAGTAGAGATAATTATACATTAGACTTTAATAATGTATTACTTGCCTCCATGAGGCAAACCAGTGATCTGTTACAGCTTACTCAAGACACAATAATCTGTGCAACTCAAGCTTTGCCTTGAAATTAGCAAGGTGCATTAACCTATTCCTATAATAAATAGGAACTTTACATGGCCCTATTAAACTAAATATGTCCAAAGTTTATAAAAATATTAAGTTAAGACCTCGAAAATTACTTCTTTGAATCAGCTTATACCATGTTTGTGCAACACAGGTTTTTAGATGATCAGATCAAAAGCAATTGAGGCAAACAGAATCCTGCATATTTTGTGAATGGCCAAATCAAACCGGTTATCCCTTGTCTATATCAGATTTTATAGTGCTTTTCAATAGTTAAGCTATTAGTATATTTGATTATTAAATCTAAAATACTATCACACGATATTTATAAATAGAAAATATTCGATTCACTTACCAAGAACTAACACGATTATGCCCGTTCCATCTATAAATAATTTCTTTACATCCCTGTTATATTCTTCTAGCTTTCAAAACGTATTCTTCAGTGTATGCCAACTCTTTCATGCTCAGCAATTATGCTTGACGACATCAGGGCGCTATAAAACACGGGCGGGGAAACGCGCTAATAAATGACCGTGCTACGTGTGATGCTCATTAGGATTGGCGCGAGCGCGCTTTCTCTAAAGAAATCAGAAAATCGCGTACAAGATGGCAACAAAAAAATGTAAACAAGCAAACGAGAAAACAAAGGATTTAAATGCTAAGTAATTATGTTTCGTTCATTAAAATTTGAAATATTATTTAATAAGTTATATCACGTGTAATAGCTTGTGTTGTTTGTTACTGAACACTCGGTGAATGAAAATATCAGGGCAAAAATTTTACTCGAGCGATGAAAATATTCGCAAAATTCAAAGCGCGGACGTGTTTAAAATAGTGTTTTCTCCTCGTTGAGATAGGTTGAGATAAATTTGAACACACCAAACTATAGACATTTAACTTGGCTTTATGTCTCAAGTAAAATTGAACGGTGCTTTTTTGTGCTTTTTTCAGAAAAAGGAGATATCTTGCAGCCTTTATAGTTTTCCGTATACTCCACACGACAATAGAGACAACTCATTTATGCAGATAATACGATATTTAAACAACACAAATTTTCAATTATTAATTAAACGAAATCACTTCCTGCCTCAAATACATACTATAAATGTTTATTGAAGTATCTAGTATCAGCTTATATTGCTAAAATTGGTATCTATTTCACTTGCAAAATGAACAAAGCGATTGTTGAGGAAAAGACATGCATTTTGAACTCGATTTTGACGACATTTTTTCTTTCTTGTCAAAGCGCGGACGTGTTTAAAATAGTGATTTCTCCTCGTTGAGATAGGTTGAGATAAAATTGAACACACCAAACTATAGACATTTAACTTGGCTTTATGTCTCAAGTAAAATTGAACGGTGCTTTTTTGTGCTTTTTTCATAAAACGGAGATATCTTGCAGCCTTTATAGTTTTCCGTATACGGACCACACGACAATATAGATTCGCGAGTACTATATTTATGCACATAAGACGATATTTAAACAACACAAATTTTCATTTATCATTTGAACGAAATCACTTCCTGCTTCAAATACATACTATAAACGTTAAGTGAAGGATCTAGTATCAGCTTGTATAGTTAAAATTTATATTTATTTCACATGCAAAATGAACAAAGCGATTGTTGAGGAAAAGACATGCATTTTGAACTCGATTTTGACGACATTTTTTTCTTTTTTGTCAAAGCGCGGACGTGTTTAAAATAGTGATTTCTCCTCGTTGAGATAGGTTGAGATAAAATTGAACACACCAAACTATAGACATTTAACTTGGCTTTATGTCTCACGTAAAATTGAACGGTGCTTTTTTGTGCTTTTTTCATAAAATGGAGATATTTTGAAGCCTTTATAGCTTTCCGCAACACTGTCACTGCAATGTCAACGACTACAATCGTACGAAAAAAGATTCACGCTGAATATTTTTGGAGTGTCGGCGGCAGTTATACTCCAATAATAGAAATCAAATCAATTAGTAAAACACTTTATAATGAACTTTCAGTGGATTTCCAAGCAGGCCGGCTGATTAACACAAAAAACGGTTATATATTTAAGTTTTCAAATTGTCGAACAAAATGAAATTGTAGTTGGTTTTTTTTTCAAATTCTACCTGTTTTAAATGCATGCACTGTCAATTTTGGGCTATATATGTTTATTGAAAAAGAGTGGCCAAGCAATGTCAGAATATTCTTACTGTGAAAATGTTTGTCCTACCTTCGCATTATGAAGTAAAATATCCCATTTCATACCAAAATTTTCGTATTTGGAATATGCCCACATTCGATCAGCTCGATTCCTTTTCAAATTTTTATTTCGCTCATGATGAATCTTTAAAGCACTTTTTCCTTCATCAGATATACAGAAAATGAATTCAACAATGTCTTCAAACAATCAAGTTGTTTAGGAATGTGCAGAAAACATTTTTTACTTTAGTTTTTCAGCTCTTTTTGCATAAACATTCCAATTCCATTTTTA